TTTAACGGTCGTTTATAGCCACACAGAGTAATCTGTAGGCACTACTCTAAATTGATAGATGACCTTCATTGACGCTTGAGTATTTCAGCCAGGCCTGCAGCCTTGTAAACAGAGCCCAGATTGCGCGGTGTTATACAACTGTCTTTTGTTCACGAACCTGGCTTAGTGCACAGCTGACCTCTTTTCAATAGGGGCCAGATTAGCGTGCAGCGGTGCTGTGTGGCTCATCGCTGCGGTGGTGGAGCGCTTTTGTCCCCGGTGGTAATGCGCTTGCTCTCAGTGCCCCAAACCGTGGTATACAGTTTCAAAATAACGCTGGATTATCACCACTTTTGACAGTGAAAAATGCCTGTAATGCCCAGCGGCCTGGTCTTTTGTTTGGAGTACGGTCTTTTGTTACAGGGCCCTGTTTCCTTTGTCCGAGGTCGGAGACCCCGGCCACACATATAAACCATACAGCTCTGATTTCGGAGTCCCAGGCTGGTAGTGGTTAATGTACCATTTATAAAAGCACATCTTGTAGCCTGTTCTAAATTTCAAATATTATTACCTTGCAGTGTTACTTTCCGCTTCTCTCTTATTTGCACAATGGAATCATGCATTGCTTCAACTGACACATCAAAATCAGCCCATAATTTTTTCCAGTTTAGACAAAAATCACATGACATAAAATTAAAGGAGCAGTTTTCCTGCACACGTGTTTCTAGCCCGTTGATTTTGTACACATTTTCGAGCCAGAATTTTGGTAACTTTGCAATGTTTGATCGTTCCCAAAGTGATAGCCCACAAAGACCCTGATGCGAGATTTATTGCAAACAGATGACGTCATCACCTTATTGTATATTGATTTTTGAATATTTTATTTTGCCCCATAAGTTTTTTTACACGTTTTTCTAATTAACGTTAGTGGACGGGTAGTCCTCTACTTCGGCGCAAGATTACTATAGGAACGAAATGGAAATCAGGTACTTTACGCTGTGTAATTTGATTTGAAATATGGTGAAGAGTTTGAATACGAAGTAATAATTCATAAAAATTGTTCAGTTTAAGTGCAAATCACATGACATGGACCTTAAAGAGCAGTGTTTCTGCAAACGAGTGTACGACCCATTGACTTTGTACACGTTTTCCAGCGACAATTTTGGTAACTTGAAGATGTTTGATCGTTGCCAAAGTGATAGCAAACAAAGACCCTGAGGCAAGATTTATTGGAAAGGGCTGACGTCATGATGATGTCTTCTCCTTATTTTATATTGATTTTTGAATGTTTTATTTTTCCCCCAATGTTTTGTACACGTTTTTCTAATTAACACAAGTGAATGAGTAGTTTTTTACTTCAGCTGAGGAGTACTATAAGAACGAAAGAGAAATCGGGTACCTTTGTGTGTTATTTGCCTAACAGTTCCAATATGAAGTAATATTTCGTAAAAATTCTTCAATAAGGGAAATCATGTGACATGAAATTAAAGGAGCACTGTTTCTGCAAACGAGTTTATGGCCCGTTGACTTTGTACACGTTTTCGAGCCATGATTTTGGTAACTCTGCCATGTTTGATCATGGACAAAGTGATAGCCAACAAAGACCCTGATGGAAGGTTTACACAAAAATGAATGACGTCACAATGACATCATCACATGATTTTTAATTGAATTTTGAATATTCAATTTCCCCCATAGACTTTGTACACATAGAAAATGCAGCAAACTTGCACAGATATGCCACAAACCTCACCATCTATGGTCTCATTCATAAATAAACACAAATCATCTATATCTTTCAAACACACAACCAGCATTTACACAAAAACCCGAAAAAGCTCAGTGTTTGTTTACCAACAAACACAGCGTTCATCTAGTTACATGTAGACTTTCTTGTTTCAGTTTTAGTTGTACCAGTACTTCTACAATTATACGTGGGAGTTCATAAATGCAACAAATTCGTTTGATACTAACCTATCTTTCTTTATTTTGCAGGCACTTCGTCGAGGACTGAGATGATACTTCAAATTTGTCAGATTGCTAGCTGTTGCTATTAAGAAAACTCAATAGTAAATAAAAGTGGGAGAAATAAACAAGTCATGGAATTATAAGTGTATTCACTGTTTTTTCATCACAATATTTACAAGTGTAATTAAGTAGCTTATTTTCTGAAGAAAATCTTATCAAACCCTAACACTTTGAGCTTGCAAATTAAATAGGTGTCATAATTATATTCTTTCAGATGGCTCAACCATAGGGCTTTTGCTTTTCGGAAAATCACTGGTAAATAAGAGTGATGAGAAATATACAATAGACAAGCCATTTTGTATAACATCAAATCCACATGGAATTATAATAATTGCATTCACTGTCATTTCATCACAATATTTACTAGTGTAATCATGTAGCTTATTTTCTGAAGAAACTCGTATCAAAACTCTCACACTTCGAGCTTGCAAAATAATTAAATGCGGGAATTTTGCATCCCTGGTTGATTTTTAATTTCCGTTAATTTTCATTTATTCTAATTTTCATTTAGAATGCCAGATTTACGTAATGCCAGAACATCCTTCGTTGGATTGTGAGGGGCAAACATTTCGGATGGTGCACTCTTTTCATTCTTCAAGGACTTCAATAATATTACTGATATACTGCAGGCAGACACAGGCATATTATTTTTGTCGTCCAAGATGGTTGCTAGTTGCTTCCTCGTGGAAGCGTTAAGAAATACGCCATGAGCAATGGGCAAAATATCCATTTACAATTATCTTAGCATTAGTTTAAAATCACTGCAGTTTTATTTATTTGTAACTTACCCTAAGCCTTCCATTTTTATGATTGAATATTAATTTATATTGGGTTCTTTATGAGGACGTAGATTGAAGGCATGGAATCTGAGCGGCAAAAATTGGTAGTGGACCTTGCTTTAAACGTAGCAGTTTCCTTTAGGAATGAAATATGCTCAAGTGTCTCTTTTTGTCCTGCTTCGACAAAAAAACAGCACTGACAATGTGGGCATTTCCCTAGACCCTTGGCCACTCACGACGGCATTGTCTCCTGCGTCTGGACATCAGCCATTGAATTGGACACTTCAAGGTAAGTCTTATAGTGGCCAATGCCGTATTCACTCGATGACTGTTCGGGGAGTAGCAAAATACCACATCCACGGGATGTGCGATACAGAACGTACAGTCAGGCTCTTTACACTTTACAAGTGAGAGTTCCCACGGCCGTTTGTAGACATGCTTTATCGCAAACTTCATTTCCTGGTGTAGGACCCTGTTTTCAATGCATTTTGCCTTGGATCCCGTGGAGAGAATGGGATGGATATCACCATAATCATCATATGGTGTAGACTGAGTGTTGCAAGGTTGACATGAACTTGAAATTGGATGTCCGTTGAAGTGCTGGCCATCCCAAAACGTGTTCAATTCCCTCATGGCATTGTCAAATACTGCGTACTCCTTTTCCCTTCGTTCGCTGTCCGACAGTCCCCGCTGCGTACTCAGTGACTCGGTCTTATCCTCCAGGGTGCTCCTTAGCCTGACTGATGTCAGCATTCTGCTAAGCGGGGCCTAACCGTGTTCTATCGGGTTCAGAGCAGAATTCTTGGGCGCATATTTCATCATGCAGACGAAATCGAGATTGATCCGTTTAAGAAGTCGGGACAGGAAAAGAAGTCACACCAATCGGGACCGCCATCCATGATTAGTACCACTCCTGTTCTACCTTGGGATGCGCAGTCATCAATGGGAAGGAGATCATTGATATGCTCCTGAATGGTCATTTTGTGATGCTTTTGAGTTCTGTTTACAATGTGGATTGGTCCAGTTCTTGAAGTGTGTAGGTGGCAACAGCCAAGTTTGTCTTTTACTGTCCCATTAGTGTCATCACTTTGTTGCTGCAGGACCATGGATCCACAAGGCATAATTAAATATCCATCTCCACGAGGAAAGTCGTGATCAGGGTAGTTCAGCAAATCACTCAAAATGTGGAATCGCGAGGTCTGGTGATAACGACTCACCGCCGTCTTTCCAATATGGACTGTATTCATGCAGTCACATGACAGAAGTGCCACTTCGTTGGCAAATTTCGCAGCAAACTCCATCCAATATGTAACTCTGCAGTTGCAGTAGTGGGCGTCAATGTGAAATGTGCGTTCGTTATTTTTCTTCACCGCCACTTTTGCAGGTACAAGGCACTTGTAGTCCTTTGCAGACTTCCTCTTCTTGTCCGGTGCGACCATGAGTCGTTTGCAGGTTGAGTTGCTGATGGACAAGCCTGGAATCTCCTTCTGTAGATGTTTCTTGAGGGCAGGAATGGAGGTTCTGCAAGCACGGCCAACTGACGTCCTTCTTTTGGGGTCTGCAGCGTAGCTGTGCTGAGTGATGAAATCTTTGGCAGTATCCACCAGTTGTGGATATATTTCATGAAGAGCTGGCTGCCCAGTGACATTTCTTTAGCCGTTGTTTCGAGGTTTTGGATCTCAGCATTTTCGGGCAAGTGACAGCAACTGTAAGGGGATAAGAGTAAATAATTAATGCAAGAACTCACATTCTTAAAACTCAAGGTATAAAAAAGGGAGGGACACCCTTCATGTTTGAACAACATTTCATCAGGTTTTGGAATCAAATTGTTCATCTTATAATTACGTTAAAGCCCAATGGCTCCTTGGCCAGCCCTGAAGCCACCGCGCAGGCATATAGAGAGGATCAAAAGAATTGGCATTCAGGTCCTGACGTCACATATTTTTATAATTGCTGACCTCTGGTGGCCGCAAGCCTGGCATTGTATCCATCCTCTTAACATGCCCGCGCGGTGGCTTCATTCACTGGGCCATGCAACCTATCCAGTTAGTGTCGGGATCAGTGGGTAAATGGGCGTACGAAGTGGCACAGTGGAAATATTCAAAAAGTAAGCAACTTTTGTAGAATGAGTCCTAGAGACAGTTTCAGTGAAATTCACATTTTCCACATTGTAAAGCTCTTGTAAAACAAGGCTGTTTTTCTCGGATTCTAAGAGCTTATATTTTGCAGAATACAGGGGAGCAATAGTTGCAGAGAACCAGCAAAGATTATGCTGTATAAGACTGCGTCTGGTTCCTAGTTCTGAGACATTCAAACAGAGACGTTTTTGGTTACTATTCAACTCTGACATGTACATCCGAGTTACATTTAAAGTACCAGATACATGTGCGCGTACTAAACTGCATGTCGTAGCAAGCTTGCTACACAGCGCGCTGCATCGGTCGCTCTTGTGCATATCTAGTACCCAGTATTATACAAGTGGTCACATGAGGTGATTGTTAAATGGGTAGCAGACTGTAAAATCAGGCAACCTGAATACCTACCAGAAAAAAAGGACGCAGATTCAGCATCGCATCGACTACTAATTACAACCTCCATTTTTTGGGGGACATTTTAATGATCAAATTCCATGGTGAGAAATATGGGTAGTTGTTTAGCTTTTGTTTGTCCACAACAAGCTCATCATTTCCAAGTTGTCGTTTTGTTATTTTTGAGATTTTTGGTTTAGAAGTAAATGTGTATTTAATGGAACGAAAATGATACGTTTTCCTATAAGTTTTGTGAATTCCTTCTTTTATAACCTATCCCATGTATCAACTTGAGATTTGTGCATAGCCAGACGACGTCATTTCAGCCGGAATCTGGTCTAGTTTGCGGACACCAGCGTCTCCAACTCAGGGCCCATGTAATCGTACCCATTCAAACACTGAATTATACAGAAACAAAACCAGCCTTACCTGCAAAGGTTTGTACTCGTAACTCAGGTTGTTCTCAACGTCACTTCCTCCAAACAGCCAGGACTCTCTGGAGGAGTCACATTCATCGTCAAATGATGTACTGAACCAAGAGTCTAGGGAGGAGAAACTATCATCCATCTTTCCTTTCTTTATTATTTATAACATCAAGGAAGATTACTGGAGAACACGAGCTGGGATAGTTGGATGCGTGAACATACAAGAGTAAAATAGTGTTCTGGGAGTTCTAAACCATACACAAGTATGCATCCCCCCCACCGCTGAGGATTCTTTCGAAAGCGGTATCTTGGGTATAGCACTCATCTGCATCCATAGAGATGCATCATTGCTTCTAAATCTCGGCATCTCCTGCTCACAAACACCATTCATGGCAGCCAACTATGTAGCTTATGAAGGCGCGTCTCTACAGAAACCCCTTTCCCAATTTGTATAATTATATCGTCCCCTTTTGAATGTACAGTGCAGTGAACATTCTTCCGTAACTTGCTGCCTCTTCCTTGACACAACAGTCCCAAAGATTTTGTTGCTTGACCAACACTCTGCGTCAGCATGCAAACCGTTAAGGTTAAATTTATGAATGATTTTCCCCACAATTATCTGTTAACGGAAATGTCTGAAACATGAATTATTTGCAATATGACAAAAATATGTCCGGGTCGATGTTTCTCAACAGATTGCAGTATCTGCTATTGATTCATTTTCCATTCTAAGATTTTGAACACCCTCTGTCAAGGTGCGCAAAATCTGTATTTTTAGATTACCTTGTGAATGTTAGAACAAAAGTGTCACCAATTAGGCATTGTTCCTCATTTTTAGTGAAGAGGATTTTAGTTATTTTTTAAAAATTAATTGTATGCCATAGTCGATAGTCACCACTCTTATAGACGTTTGGTGTTAATGTTATTATTTTTGTTCTTTACAGCAAAGCGCCCAAGGACATCCAGCGAGTCGGAGAGCGACGATGACACTCCACTTTCGTTCATTGCCAAAGGGCAGAAAGAATCCACGATGGACAACGTGTCAAAAAACACGCTGTCCGAGATCCAGCAGCAGCTTGGACACATGACCCAGGCTCTTCGCATTCTGCAGGAACAACACGAGGAGGAAAAAAATCAGCGAGTGCTGCTAATAGAAGAGATTCACGCACTTCGAGAGGAACAGCAACGCCAGGCAGAAGAAAACCGCAAAATCCTTGAGACCTTTAAGAATGTCATGGCTGTTATTTTGAATATATTTGGCCTTGTCAAGGGCAGAATTAAGCGAAGGGAGTCTAACAGCCGCAAGGCCACAGCCGAATCCTGCACACCAGCCCAAACATTACCTGGTCATCCCCAGACTACATGTTAGCCGACTGGGGAGCCTCCCATGCCGTCCCTAAGGCCGCCTCCTGTCACTGTTGTGGAAGGGAAGGTGTGCATCCCGGTGCAGAACCGAGACACAAGCGCTGATGCCGCCGCAGTGTACCAACCAGTTGAAATCAGTGCCGAGGAGTAAGAAACTAAGAATCTCTTCGCAGAAAATTGGCAAAGGCGACAACATTTGTGAGGGGGTTGTTGCCCAATTTTTCATGGCAGATGTCATGAGACGTTCGAACTTTGATGGTTCTACCGTTTTGACCAAGGACGGACAGATCACAAAGGAACGTTTAGATAGACAACTAGTCTTGGCCATGCTAGACCAAGTTGAGCTAGAGTTTCCTGGGCAAGTTAGTGGCAAGAACTTTTCACAGATTCGAGCAGTAATTAATGACTAATGCCGACATAGCTAGAACAACAATCGCTTTGTAGTACGAAAACATGTGCACAGGTCATCCTATTTGTGCCAAACTATATCTATTAATTTACATGTGCCTGTCTTGATTAATTTGTTCCATTTTTTTAATCTCACGATAATGGCTTCCAAAACATCGCAATGGTGTTTGTCTTCCTACGAGATCACACGTAATTATCTGTTTTATGATTATATACTAGTTCAGAAAGAGGCTTAAACCAAAAACTAAAAGCAATTGGGATTACAGTTTAGTAGAATTAATTTTTGCCATCCTTATGGTTTGTTAAAGAATTTTAAAAATCACTGTTTTTTGTTAAAATATTTCAGCGCGGGGAAACAAACCATAGTAAATATTTCATGTGCATGGAAACATCACTTTGTGTCCTTAGGAATCAGTGCCTGTTCTTTGTATTGTCAAACTCCGTAGCAAATTTACATCTACATTAAAAAACGAATTCTGAGATGAACATCTTAAGTACGTTAGATGGAAGCAGTTCTTGTGAGTAGAAGGTGAGTGTCACAGTTTGCTCACTTTAGAGTCACTTTAGAGTAACTAGAAGGATTAGATGCAGGCCGGAAAATGATTGTAACAAAACACAACCTGTACTATTCACAATACTTGATATGAATTAATATACAAAATTTCTTGATTCTATCATACAAAATATACACAATTCTGTGTTTACAATCAGATGTCTCTCAAGTGAGCGTAGCTACAACTCCGTGGTCAAAATTACATTAAACTTATCAAATGAATGTGTCTATTCACACACGCATGAAAATCAGTATTTTCAATTAAAGTATTTACAGGTAAGCATGGGTGAATTCAAATTTCAAATTCACTTTAAAGTCACAAATCTAGTGCATCAAAGAGATATATACTTGATAGTTTTCAATCCCTTGTAATTTAATGCTGTAAAATTTCAGCTCTGAAAAGCACTTAAAAATAAAAGAATTATCAATCGAAGTTCTTCCGAGGAAAATCAGTATTCCAAAGAAAACTTCCAGACAAATGTCAGTATCAATTCAATGAATTTACCAGGTATGGAGGAATTTAGTTCACTAGGCGAAATGCCCAACAAATTGCAGTATAAACTCCGGAGAAAACAAGGTTGATTAAAAGTATACCATAAGCTGGAATAATCTGAAAGGCTCAAGGCATGTAGTGAAAGATCTTTCAGTCAAAACTTGCAAGTGTTATTACTATGTCTGCTCTCAATTTTAAAATGTCTGACATACAGTTTGATTAATATCAAATTCGTCCCTCCTTGATTACAAGAATCCGCCCTTGCTAGCTTGCTCATCAACTCTGGCACATCTGCGGGACCACCTCCGCAACTTAGAAGTGAACCCTCACTGCAGCGTGCTGTGACCAAAGTTACATCGGAATTCAAGAACCAGCCATCGAGCATAAGGAGGAATGGAACTCAACCAGTCTTTGAGCCAAGCATTTTTCTGATCTTGGAATGTCAATGAGCCGCTACAATGATCCTCACAACCAATTTTACCTCATAAGCAGCCTGACAAATCTGCTACTAGCCGTGGCAAATGGCGCAACTGTCACAGATGGAATGTGAATTGTGGGATGGCGTGGTTGGAAGTTGCCCAAGCAAGACATTAATAACAAATTAACAAAGCAAACCAAGTGTTCAGAACAAAATTACAAGTGTAGTTTTAATTCTGTGAGGCTTTAACAGAAATCTTCAGAACATATAATCTTCAAAATAAACAGAAAAATAAACGAACATGAATGGATTGCGAAATGAAATGAACAAGCTTTTGCAACTGCAAAAAGCAAAATCAATTGAAACGTAATAGCGATGGACAAAATTAAACAAATTGTAACTTATATACAAATCCAAAAAGAATAAAAAAAAAAAAACCTAGTGTCAATGGATTGCCTTCCTCAAATCTGAGCTGAGCCCAAGCCCGAAAACCAGGAAGCTTGAGAGTACCGGACGTAAAAGCCCGGGGTCTTGGCCGATTTGAGGAAGTGTACAGATATAAGTAATTAATTGACACGAATGGTGGGTATGTGGTGGTGGATGCTGGAAGGATTCAGTGTAGCTCCTGCGGTAGCTAGCTGTCCGGTAGTCTGTGGCCATCAGAGTCACCGTTGCCAGGCCGTCCAAACACCACCACTTCCCACCGTGTCAATGTGGCTCTCTACCGAAACAAGGCATGCTAATCCTTATATACCCACTATTTACACAATAGGTATTTACCCCATTCAGAAAGATCCAATTAAAGTACAATAAAAGAACACTTAAGAGCTGAACATTACAATTACAAGAATTACAAGGGTTAGGAATCTCAAGACTGGTAGGCTTGATTGAGGTATTCAGCCCAGAACAATAACCACTGACCCATTCTGTGTTAAGTAGATCTACAGGTGCTATGCATTCCTTACATTGAATTCTTAATAATGGAGAATCTGGCATGAGTTACAAGTCCCAAATAAAATAGACTTCAGCATTCATCACCAACTTTTCTTAATTAAAAAGGTGTAGTTGGGACTATTGACGGCAACCAAAGTACAAAACTCGCGCAACATTGGGACAGGGACTACCAACTCAGCCCACACACTTCATCATCATGACGCATCTCTCAGTTTCTACTGTCTGTCACTGTTCATCACATTTATACTCAGTTGTACTCTGTTCACATTCAAATCGCCTACAGAACTCCAGCCTTAACTTCTTTATCCACACAACCTGTGACAAGTCTTTACAAAGGAAAGCTCCACTGCAATACAAAAGGGCAAGATAGTGCATCCAAATTCCTCGTCACAGTGGGTGAAAAATTTGCATGTGAGTACAGAAAGCCATGGCCCTGGTCATTGATGTGTAACCTGAAGGAGTAAAGTAATGAATTAAACATGAATAGAAAGTCTATAATAATAATAATAATTTATTCATTCATAAAGCGCATGGATATATGGATATGTTCAAATGCACTGTACAATGAAGACATTAAGCGTTAAACAATGAATACATTTAAACATGGTTGAGCCGATGGCATACAGGGGCTCCTTAGGCAGCCGCCAAACGACCCACATTCACCAAAATCAGTAAAGGGGAGACTGTAAAAAGCAGATACAGTTTTAGAGGTGGGAGGAAAACCCCAGAGGAATATTCTGGGTAAAACCCACGGAGTCAGGTAGGGACTGAAAACCCAATCCACATGTGGACTGGGCCGGGATTCGAACCCGGGACCACAGAGGTGGAAGGTGAGGAAAAAACTACCTTGCCAACCTGACTGCCCAAAGTCTAGTGAATAATGCATGCTAAAGTTTAGTTCAGAAGTGTGGGCACAGGAGCTGACACTGAAATAGAAAATATCTGACATTAATTGACCTGATAGAAAAATATGGAATAAAATATGGAATTAATTAATGGAGAATTCTGACAGTGAGGAAACGGAGAAGATTAAGAACATCGATATCGCTATTCTTGACTGAAATCCTGCATAAAGAGATAAAAAGAAATTCAAGAAAATGTGAAGAAAGAAATTTCAATCTCCCATACTCGCTTACAATTATAAGAGCCTCCCTTTTCAGCGCTTTCCTGTGTCACAAAGTGTAAAGCCTATTTCTGTAGATGAAGGATTACTAGGAGATTATCTTGAGGCTTAAATTACTCTTTTGTCCCTGCGTTGGGGTCGTCTGCATGGCTGTTAATCAAAAAAGTTCCTCTACCAAGGCTGCCTGTAGTGGGCTGACCTGTAGATAATAAGCTCATTATAGTGCGATGAGAGAAACCTCGAAAAACCCAGCGGCCCTGCGAGGTTTACCACGCAAAACCTCCAGGGCCCCTTCTGGATCGCTCCGTTACGGCAAAGACCTTTTTGCGGGGAAGTTCATGGAGATGATGGAGTCTAAAGTTAAGATCATTGACACAACATGTAAACTTAGCTTCTGTGACCTTTTGCACCGGTAGTTCTACGTTGCCAATACCGCCCTGATGATCGCCCAGCTCGACCCTTCAGACCTCCACGTCAGGGCAAATATGGTTCCTTTTGCCCCTTTCATCAACCCAGTTACCAGAAGAATCGTGGCCGTCCATCCTCCTCTTGATTCACTTAGTCACTCCAGAGGAGCTTCAAGGGAAGAACCACCGAGCCACACTACCCCTGACATCCTGGGGGTAGGCGTCACTGACTATTCAGATTTGCCTCCACCTGCCGATCTCAGACACGTCGGCGAATGACTTCAACTCTTTGCCGAGTCTAGGGAGAATATCACATCGGACAGCTGGGTGCTGGCTACCATTTGTTATGGATACGCCCTTGAATTCATGAGCACCCCTCCGTCTGTACCTATCCTCCGTCCGACTTCAGTTCCTACCGAAAAAAAACAAACAACAGGCACTGGAGTCCGAGATAGATTCTCTCCTTCAGAAACATGCTATCCGCCCAGTTCCCAAATCTCAAGCGAAAAAGGGCTTCATTTCAGTGTTCTTCCTCACTCCGAAGAAGTAACTCAACAGCTGGCAGCCTATTATCAGCCTCAAACCTCTGAACCGTTTTATCCGCCTGAAGAAATTCCACATTGACACCCTTCGGACAGTCACCCAATCTCCACAGGTTCCATACTGGGCCTCTTCCGTAGACCAGAAAGATACCTACCACATTCCAATTCACCCACAAAGCTACAAATAACTACGTCTCTGATAAAACGGGAACCTCTTCGAATTCACGGCTCTCCCCTTCGACCTGTCCAACTCACCGAGAGTGTTTCTCGAGGGTTGAAAAGATCGTCACTGCTAACCTTCCAAAGGGGGACATCATGCTATTCCAGTACCTGGACAACTGGCTGATTGTCGGCAGATCGTTCAACGAAGCAGAGGTTTCTACCCCCCTTACTTTCGACATCACAAATCAACTGGGCTACATCATCAACCACAGGAAGCCGAATCTCACCCCAACTCAATACCTGATGTTATCTAGGGGCATCTATCGACCTTCAACGAGGCATAATCTTACTGACGACCGAACGCGTGGACAATCTTCTGGACTGCGTGAAAGTCTTCTTCACTGAGCAGTCTGCTCCGGTCCACGCCTGGCTCCGTCTCCTTGGCTTGATGGCCAGCATGGTAGATCTCATTCCCCTCTGCAGGCTGTACATGCGCCCACTACACTCTACAGACCGAAATGGGACTCAATCAATCTCCAGGTCTCCATATCTGACTTCATCCGTCCCCATCTTCAGTGGTGGTTAGTGAAGGAGCACCTCTCTCTCGGAGTTCCCTTCCCCAAGGTGAACCGGGAAATAACTATAACCTCGGACGCTTCTCATCTGGGCTTGGGAGCCTCTCTACCGCCGCTTAAAGCATCGGGAACATGGGACCTCCAACTCCAAGGGAGTCACATCAATATACTGGAACTTCAGGCCGTATTCAATTCACTGGAGGCTTTCCGCCCAAGCATCATTGGCAAACGAGTCTCATCCGTTCTGACAACTCCACAGTTATAAATCAATCACCAGGGAGGTGCACATTCTCCCCGCCTATGCCTCCTGACGAGACAGATATTCCTTTGGGCTCAGGATTATGGCATCAACCTCCAGGCAACTCACATTCTTGGTGTTGACAACTCCATAGCAGATGCTCTCTCTTGGAGAAAGGTACATCCCACGGAGTGGACTGTGAACAACAGTGTAGTTGAACAGATCTTCGCCGAAGTATAAAAACTGAGCATCGATCTTTTTGCCTTGGCGGAGTATGCCCAACTGGCAGTGTTCTGCACCAGATTTTACCACCCGCAAGCCTGGGCAATGAACGCTCATCAAATCAATTGGGAAGGGATGTTGGCCTACGCTTTTCCTCCAATATCCCTAATACCAGCAGTTCTCTCCAAGATCTAAAGGGAACGCTGCCGTGTCCTTCTCATCACCCCCTTCTGGCCAGGCGAGCCATGGTTCCCGCGTCTGACCAGACTTCTTGTCCGGGTACTGGTGATCCTTCTCGACAGACCGGATCTGCTACATCAACCGAAGTCAGGCGTACTTCACCCTCACCCGACGTCACTACACCTGACCTGTTGGCTGTTGTCAAACAGTCCTTCAGATCAGATGGGTCTTCTGAGCTCGACACCAGTCTACACGCAGCATCTCTTACTCCAGATTACGACATTTTACTTTGTGGTGTTCAGAGCAAGGTCTTTCTCCAGCTGAAGTTTCTGTGACTTCTATAGCTGATTTCTTCATGTACCTGTTCAAATCAGATCTCCATGTTTCAACTATCCGTAACTACCAGTCAGCTATTGCGGCTATACATGATGGCTTCCCAGATTCAACCATGCCCGACAATACTGTTCTTAAACATCTACTCCGGGGGATGTTTCTTGAGAATCCCCCAACTAAGAGACTAATTCCTTCATGGGACTTGTCAGCTGTCCTCCAACTGCTTGGTTGTCCTCCCTTTGAGCCTCTCAGCGATGCATTATTGATTAACTTATCGGTGAAACTGGCATTCCTGCTGGCAGTTACTACGTCGTGCCACGGTAGTGAACTGAAGGCATTGTCCATCACAGATGGCTACATCCGATGGGAACCCCATGGTGTTTGTCTCATCCCAGCGCTTGGGTTTTGTTCACCAAGAACCAGTCAGTTTTTCCCCCATCCTCCTGAAAGTTTTGTACCAGACATTACAAAACACACTGGGACTCCCTATGACAAACCATGGTGCCCAGTGCTGACTCTTAAATGGTACTTAGCCAAAACGAAAAAACTTATCTTTCATCACCACAATAAAACCTCACCGAGCTGTGACCAGAGTCACTATAGTCAGAT